TGACAGTTAAGTGAGTCCACAAACTGCAGCTGTAGAAGTGATACCAAATCTCTAACTAGCAAAGACAGTCTGCTCTTGGGCTGAAAAAGTTACCAACCTGCAGTCATCACCTCCAGCACTAATCACGTGTCGATCACCACTGGTAAATCGAATGTTTGTCACATGGGGTGAATGACCTAAGAACCTTTTATGCTTTGCCTGAAAAAACAAACAAAAAACTAAGCTCAAGGTGTATGATGCACACAAAAGTCAAAGGTTGCTACAAGGAACCATAACTTCCCATCACTAGGGCTGAGGAGAGAGGAAGCTAGGACCATAGCCAGTGATCAAGTGCCTTTCAGATTAGTAATGGGTCAGCACTTAACACAAACCAGGTGATTTGGGCAGGCAGATGTCTCCAGTTACTCTGAAATTTTTCCTGAGGAAAAGCATTTGAAACTTGGTAAAGGTTTGATAAAACACTAATCACAGCTTTTTATTAGTATAGTTTGCAAATATGGGTGTTACTTCGGGGCAGGGGGTATAATTTCTAATAGCTATTATTTCAGAGTAAGGGATTTAAGAAGTTTGGAAAAAAAATTAAGAATACAAAGTATTTCCAGAGCAGGACACAACACAGTTTAGCTATTATGTGGGGAAATGTACTAATGATCAGACATCTAATTGAGAATATAATTATATAAAATGCTAAACCAAACACTTACAAATTTCTCAGGGCATGGGAAGTCAAATAACTTAACCATGCCAAAGTCATCTCCTGTCACAAGGCTGATTCCTGAATGAGACACACAGGCACAGTTGACATCTGCTTTCTCAGCGTGCCTGGACCAGATTCCCATAACTTCACTTCCTAGAATGCTAGAGGGAAGGGAAAAGAGAAATCCACCATAGCAAACACAGGTTGACCATACTGAAAAAGTTTCTTGGTAATTAATCTCTAAGTACCTAATGTGTGTTTTAAAATACAGGAAGCAAATTGTAAGTCCTGAGTTTCACCTGGGATGTTAATTCTCCCCCCGCCTAAAGAAAATAATTTTGGAACCAAGTAACGTATTATAATGATATTGGACTTATATGAATTGGGTGACATCGAGGAATGTATATTTGCAAAAAAACCAATATTTTATTGTTTATAATTTTGTACAGTATGATAAGTTTTGTAACACTCCCCAATATGCATTGCAGGCTGATTAGTGCATGTTTGACAGTAATAAGTGGTTTGACGCCTGCCACCAGGTGTTTTCCTGTTAGAACACACAATGCAGTCCCGTTTTCTTTGTCCCACATCGGGAATATGTAGTTTATTGTTTAATCCGACACAAAACCCGCTGACATTTCTTGTATATATCTTAGTAATTTTATGATATTTTGATTTAATTTCTTGTGCCATTTCAAGATAAAACTTCAGGGAAACATGCATGTCTCAAAAAGTTGCGTTGAAATAACTCAATTCCCGTAATCACTAATAAACTGCAATGTCCCCTGAGAAGGGACATCCGAGTGATATGCTAGAATTCCGATGTCCCCTGAGAGGGGACAGCGGAGTGCAAAGGGTTAATCTCTAAGTACCTAATGTGTGTTTTAAAATACAGGAAGCAAATTGTAAGTTACTG